TGGCGACACTTTCTCCAGAATATCATCCCTCTGATGTTGCCCAAAGTCTCAGCTAAAGACGAAGTGCTGATGAAATTAGGAATATCTTCTTATAGTATGTTTTCTGGATCTGCTTCTCTGCTTCGTGATGTTGTGCCATCTGGGAAGGTTGCAACTATGCTGCCACATGCAAAGAACCACCCAAGACACATCACAGTTGAGTTTGAACCCATTAGTTGTAGTTGGAATTTTTCTGCATTATCAGTCAATTAGCTGCACTGCAGCGCTCTCTGTCTCCTCCTCCTTCAAACTCGTAATTTGTGCCGATTCTTTCAGTTGACATCTCACACTTCTTTCTCGGTTCTGAATCTGGCAGTTTTATTTTTGCCCACCTCGCCAATTCCTCTTTGCTCGCAAAAGCCAAGGTAATTGCAACTCCTTTGACAACAGTAAAACTGAGGCGAGCATCTAGTATCACGCTAATAGGGGTCAGCAACATGAACCCAGTAAATTGTTTCAGTATGAGCACAACTAACATGATGCATTCATTCCTGCTTCCATATCTCCTCTTCTGCTGGCTATTCTCATACCAAGTCATAGGCCATAACCAAGTGGCATCTAAGACATGTCTCTATGTCTTGACCATATGTGCAGTCGGTCTCAAGGCTCCAAAATCACTGAGAAATATATTCTCCCAACTCTCTCGACAAAACATATCCCGTGCGCGGTTCAGATCCCTCGTTGTTGGGTATTGAGAACCCAGGGGACAGCAAACCTGGTGACACGTCTGCTTGCACGTGACCACGTCCTCCGGTCGCTAGCTGGAAACTGGTTGCTGTTGTTGACATCTCCGCCTGACGTCGCTGCCTGACTAGGCAAATTCGAGCCCCGCTATTAATGTCGTTACCAAGCGTCCTTCAGCGCGGCGTGCAAATAGAAGGCTATTTGTGACCTTGTCCTATTAAAGGCTCCTCCAGAGCCTTTATTTAAAGTCACCTTCTCCATTTTCCAACCTTGAAGACGTAGGTAGCTGCATTTCTTGTCCTTGTGGCTTTACGTGGCTATTTTCAGCCACGTGTGGCTTGGTCCTTGCCTCCCACCTACAACCCCGCCAAATTTTTAAGTCCCTCTATTATTTTCAACACAGAATATCACACCTGAGACGACGATGCAGAATGACA